TTAGCCACATATAGGGCAGGGCTTTCAGAGTGCTGGGCAGTGCTACTGTATTGGGACTAGTAATGACTCCCTGCTGGTCTTAGGATTCTTCACAATAACAGCACATGCCAGGCTCACCCCGTGCTTGAGCTTACAGTCAACCGTAGGAGGTCTTGTATTACAAAAGATTGCAGGGGTGGCTTATGGGTGTGTGAAAGAGAGTGTTTTGTGGAAATAAAATCCCTTCCCTCCCTATGCCCTTATTTCATTAGGAACAGCAGCCTATTTGTCTTTTTTCCATAATAGTGTAACACAGCCTCTAATTCAGCGTAAAGAAGTTTTCCCTCTCCAATTTGTTTAGATTCCAGCCTTAACCAGTGGGGGATATAGACTATTATGCTAATGTGATTACATGCATTATCTGTCCGAGTGCTCATGAGTATGATGCTGCAGCAGAACCCTGGAAGTTTTGCTGTATGTACACATGATATTAGTATGCAAATTTTCAAAGGGCTGTATTTTGCACCCTTCACTGAGATACAGTGGTCTTTATACAGTTCGACACAATTCATACCCCTGTGGTGATGCAAGGTGTGAGTGTTCTTCTGTCAGATCAATGGCCAATTCGATGGTGGGAATTACTCAATATGTATTTTTATATTTGTCGTGTTTTGTTCCATATTTTATGTTTTTTTGAAAGGTTATGTTTTATGATTGTGATGTGCGATTACTGCATGATAGCGGTAAGTTTATAAACTCTTGCTTGAAAACAATGCAAAGCATTATATTTGTAACCCATTCTCAAGATGCTTCCAAGACTAGGACAAGTCAATAAAACCTGATGAAATCTGTCCTGAAACACTCTAGCACTGGCCCTAGACCATTAGGCCATCCTTTATTTTTGAGCCCTGGTTAGCAGAGAATGTCAGGAATACTCATTGTTCTTAATGCTGTACTGCCCTCTTATGGCAACAAGCTCTCTTTAAAATCCAATCCAAGCACATTCTTCAAAGGATTAGAAACAAAATTAATCCAATAAACCCCTAAAGTAAATGTTGAAGAAAGTGATTACACTTGTGGTATTTAGGACTGTCACATAATAAAAGTCTAGTTCTAACGTTTCTGAAATATATGGTACATGCATCTACTGGTACTTTATGCTTATGGCGCTTTTCCACTGCATGGTATGGCTCGGTTTGCGTTTCCACTGCAGTTTAGTATCGCTTTAGTGTGGGCGGGATTATAGACATGTCGTTATAGTTACGCCGCATCTACTGCCGTGACATCATCGTAAACACATCGATATAAACAAACACACAACAATGGAGCATATCGATGGAATGGTGTTCTTCATTCTCGGCATGTGGATGTTTTTAACTGCAAGACGAAGGAGTTTGTTTCAAAAGAAACACTGTACTTTTGAGACCACGAAACAGGCATTATTTTGTTGTTTTAAAAAAAGGTGCGCTCGTTCGAAACGGTTGTTCGTTCAAAAAAAGTTGCGTTCGATTCTCGCTGGCTGTGCTGATTTAATCTAGCGGGTCTAGTGTATGGAAGGCCGTAAAGACAAATACTTCTTTTGACGTTACGTGTACGGACGATATAACGCGTGGACGTGTAATTGCGTCTCTGGTTACGTATGTTTTGAAGCATGGCAGCTGATTTGAGCTGGTTTAAACTGAGAATTGGAGGTTATGTGCCTTGCTCAAGGGAACCACAGTTGTGGGTAATGAGAGTGCTGTTCATTCACTCAACTGCTCCACACTTCAACAGCCTTCAACAAAAGTATAAATGTAAATAAAGAAACACTCACTCCAACAGAAATACAAATTTAAAGAATTAAGACATTCCAACAGAAGTACAAAAACAATATATTATTTTTTTTTTTTGCTGATATCACTGTAAAGCTGCTTTGAAACAACCTGTATTGCGCTATATAAATGAGGGTGACTTGACTTAAATCTGTGGGCGGGCGGTGCCCTATGCCGCCCATCAGCGCGTACCTTATGACTTACCTTGAAATTATGGACTGAAAAGTATCCTCTTCCACATTGTCCGTTAGACACAAGTGAGCGCATTCCTGAAAAATTTGCATGCAATTGTTCACAAAATTTCTCAACACCATGGTTCCTCTGCCGCCTGTATTTTGAAATACTATACTCCTCCTTCATTCGTAACACGACGTCATTATCATGTGACCATAGATAGTGCTGACATGCGACCACGTACTATGGTATGTACGATGGCATGTCACATTTATATGCATTATTCATTAATGACATGTCCTTAGGTAGATATTTATGTCACTATTATATGTTTAATTAATTTTATGCAAATTTTCAAGTCTTCGGCCTTGCCATTGGCCAAAACATTAACGTCTGTACACGAAATAACGTGTTTAGACGCAATTACGCGTCCACGCGTTATATCGTCTGTACACGTAACGTCTAAAGAAGTATTTGTCTTTACGGCCTTCCATACTAGTGTCTCGTGTCGCAAGTTCAATGATGCAGGTAATGACGATTCTCTCCGGCCAATCAGTGATCAGCAGGGTTTACACGTCACATTTTGCTAACGGTACGGCTCGCTTGGAACCTCAGCCGAGGTGGTACTGAAAAAAGTATCAGGTACCAGGTACTGTACCCAGTGGAAAAACCCCAAAAGCGAGCTGTGAGATATCTGGAATTGGAATTTTGACTAGTCAAAACTAAATTATGACTAGTACAGCAAGGAGTATTTAATGCTAAAACGGCTTGCCATACACGTCACATTTATATGCATTATTCATTAATGACATGTCCTTAGGTAGATATTTATGTCACTATTATATGTTTAATTAATTTTATGCAAAATTTCAAGTCTTCGGCCTTGCCATTGGCCAAAACATTAACGTCTGTACACGAAATAACGTGTTTAGACGCAATTACGCGTCCACGCGTTATATCGTCTGTACACGTAACGTCTAAAGAAGTATTTGTCTTTACGGCCTTCCATACTAGTGTCTCGTGTCGCAAGTTCAATGATGCAGGTAATGACGATGCTCTCCGGCCAATCAGTGATCAGCAGGGTTTACACGTCACATTTTGCTAACGGTACAGCTCGCTTGGAACCTCAGCCGAGGTGGTACTGAAAAAAGTATCAGGTACCAGGTACTGTACCCAGTGGAAAAACCCCAAAAGCGAGCTGTGCCTTGCCTTACCATGCAGTGGAAAAGCGCCATTAGATTCATAATTTATTTAATTTTGTTTTATTTTATTTTTTACTTATTTTACTTGGTTGTTTATTAACATAATATTGAATCGTTTGTTTTAGTGTTAATTTATTTATGTATTTATTACATTTTTAGTTGTATTTTTATTTTTAAATACAATCCAGCCTGTCCCTTACGGCATTGTTTGTTGCTACGGCATGTATTTCCAAAAGAGGACGGCATGTTGTTGCCTTTCATTAACATATTTCATTAACATAACATATGAGTTAAATATATTTGTGAATTGAGTGTTGTAGCTATGCTGCATGGCACTCTTTTGTCTTTTGCTAAATGTCTGTGTATGCTTCAGACTACTACTTTGTCTGACTTTAAAATTAGTCTCTGTACTCATTTCCCCCCCCCCCAGTGACGTCCATCACCCTCTTGGACATGGGCACACTGTCCAACGGTGCAATCGTTCTTCTTCTCAGTGAAACCTTCTTCCTCTTCATCACCTTGAGTTACTATCATCACCTCGGCCGGCGCACCAAAAAGATCTGAGGGAGGCCAGCTATTTGTTAGATGGGTAGATTGGCGGCACAGAATGCTTTGAATACAGTAGCACCACTGCCTGGACCAAATGAATTTACACTTGACTGAAAATAAACCTCTGTTTGTGGGCAATTTCCATTTTATGTAAGTACAATATCTGGGTATTTACTCTCATTAGATACAGAGGGCCACAGATCATGACTGTTGTTTTTATGTTACATTATGTTACCTACAGTGGATATAATTATCTGACAGCTCACTTTTTTGTAAATGCTTTTTCTGAGATTTTATTGTATGGAGGGTAGATTTATGGCACATTTGTACATGTCAGAGAATCCCAAATGTGTCAAATTAGTTTGGGAAGATGACTGTAATTCAGGTCATATTATGTAAGAGTTTAGTGAACTTTCTGTATGCCTGTATGTGGTGTGTTATTCTATTACAAGAATGTAATTTTAAAATGGTACTGGTTTTATTTGTCAGGCACAATAGACACAGCATGGCACAGTGTACAACAACATACTGTATACTGCAAGACAAAGGGTAATACAACGAACATTTTTTATATATTACATAAATAGGATTGTTACATTTACTTGTAGTTACTAACATTGCAAAGTGAAGACTTTGCAAATACATTCCTTTTGGATTTAGGTTCCCAACAGTACATTTTGGTAAGAATAACAGATGTAGTATTAAATGGCATTTAAAGTGTGAGTATTTCAGAAAGTACCTTATTAACTTAGTAGTTGTAAATGTATTACTGTTAGATCGTCAAATACAGCTTTGTGTGGCTTCACACAAAGAAATTCTAGCCCTACCTATTCAGATGTAACATTTTGCTGCTTTACATACCTAATGGACATTTACACAACAGTCACTAAAGTAAATAGTGCAATTATAAACCTTTAAGACAGATTAAAAGATTACAGAGAATCAGTCACTTGAAAAATCCTTTGAGGGTTCAGGTGATTTTTCCATGTCTTCATGACATTCAAGATGCATGCTACTAATGGCTTTACTTTCACAAATGTATCTGTATATATTAAAGGGACAGTCCACCCAAAAAATTTAAGTGCAACATTTATTTTTATTTTGGTTCAAAACTTATATCTATGTTCTGTGGAACAAAAAAGGAGTATCGTAAATGTAGTAAATACGACTGTGTTTCAAGTCTGAATTCATAGGATGGTTCCTTTGTGTATCGTCATTGACAGGGAACTTCAGAGAATTTTCTTTTTTGGGTGAACTATTCTTGTAACAACTGCCATTATGCACAACAGTCGTACATTTTAGAACTGTATGTGGTAAGATATGCTTTATGCCTTTAGTGATCATTGCATGAAGTCAACAATGCGGATCGATAGTAGCGCTAAAATGTAGCACTTTTATAAAGATAAAATGTCAGGTTATATAAAGATATATTCAGTGAATAATACTTCTGTTCAACTTCCACAAAGTGTTTATTTAAAAATTGTTAGCATGTTGAATTTTATTCACCTCTTTATTGTCACTATGATGTAGCCATAACTGAGAACGTTGCATTTCTTTTATCATACTCCCTACATCTGGGCCAACATCAGCAAAAGTTAATTGTGAATAATCGTATACATGATTATTCTATAATTAGAACTAGCAGGTGTTATTCCTAATAGTATATGCTTCTATAACTGAACTGTCATTTGAGATGTGGACAGTCACACTGCATAGATCTGATATTGCTTCCAGAGAAAAACAAATGGCTTTATTCTAAAGGGAAATCAGAGGATCATATGAATATGTGCTTTGGAAACGTCAAGTCAAAACTGCTGTTTGTTTATTTAAACTTTGCATATCTCTTGAACGGTTTAGTAATAGTTAACTAGCAAAACAATGGACCATGATTTGAAGTCAAAGCAAGTTCATGATTATATAGACTAGACAGTATATTTTTTAGGTCACTTTTTGCTTTGTAAATATTTGAATGATTCAGGAATGTGTAACACTTTTTTGTATTTTTTTTTTTAGGAAGATGATTGCAACGTCAGTTTTTAGAACGTTTGTTCTCGTTTTTTGTTCTTTTATGTGTTTTGAAGGAAAAAAACACTCATGTATGACAGTTACGTATCTACTTTTGTAGAGAGACAGTGAATGTGCTTAATAAATCTATAATGTTTTTCAAATGGAAAAAGTATTCTTGAGTCATTGTCTGATTTCCACCCAGGAGCACTGATTCTGATAAGTAGCTAAAAATGTTGAGAGCTGTGCCCAGAGCAGTTTGAAAGTTTTAAAATCGGGTGAGATCTAATAACCTATGTATTGTCACAAACATACTCCTAAAGCAGGGCTGGGCAACTTCGGTCCTGGAAGGCCACTGTCCTGCAGAGTTTATCTCCAACCCTAATCAAGCACACCTGAACAAGCTAATCAATGTCTTCAAGATCACTAGAAAGCTACAGTCAGGCTAGTTGTGTTTGATTAGGGTTGGAGATAAACTCTGCAGGACAGTGGCCCTTCAGGACCGAAGTTGGCCAGCCCTGTCCTAAAGTATATTGAGGCCACTGAACTTTCACAGAATATTATATATAACTCTACTGGAAAAAAAAAATCAATCAACTCTCAATGTGAATGGTGCTTTCTCTTTCAATATTCAATGTTATGATGACTTGAGGAGTGAGGAGCAGGTTTGTTATGTAGCTACCGATACAGCTTAAACTGTCCTGAAAGTACTGCTTGTGTTCGGCTCAAATAACCGTGGGCTTCCCCTTTTTGGGACTTACACTTTTGTTTTATGCACATGCTGTTATCTCTACATGCAACAAATTTGCACCCACAGCATTTCAGCACTGTAAAAAATAAACTGTTGAGAAAACATAAAAAAACAAGGCAACTTGATGCAGTAAGACTTTTGAGTTGTCTCAACAATTATTTTATAGTCCTTCTAAGTAACAATACTACGTTCAGCCAACCTAAATTTGTTTGTTCATGGAATGATGCTCGTCTTATTTTGCTAATAAAGTTATTCTTGTCACAGCAACTGAAACAACAAGTACTGTTGAGTAAATTTATTATTTTCTGATTCCTAGATGAAAAAAATGTGTAAATATCACCACATTTCCGTTTTTACGCCTATTTACGAATGACAAACATGGACTTATTCTTTTATCAGTTTATGTCATTAAAATTATAATGATATCAAAAACATAATGACATGTTATAAACCACAATTGACGACATTATATTTATTTATAAAGCATCGTACAAGACTAGGATATCCAGAATATCGATTTAAGTGGTTGAACATACTCTAGGCCTCAATACTGACACACAAACCTCAAGAACGGTGGTAATCAACAAATGTAAAAAAAAAAAAGACGAGCTCTTTAAATCACTGCACAACAAACCACTAACAATAATGACAAAACGACAACGAAAAAGTATAATTTATTCATGCAGCAATGCATGCTGGGAACTCACAAAGCCTTAACCTTTCAGCAATATAAAATTCTTTGTTCAGAGTCAGACAACTGTGTTTGACTAGTTGGGACAACATTTGGGGTCGAACAAAGGTTTTTATGTTCAATTCTGTTGGTCTAACAAGGATTTTTATGTAGTTTCAAGAAAACGGCATTTTTTTGTATTTGAGACTCAAAAGGTTTCGTAAGATGGAAAATATGCAGTTGCATTTTTTACAGTGAGCAGATGACATTTCTCAGATCAAATGCTGCGTTCACTTCATTGACAAAACGGCTTGTTCATTTGGCAGGAATTGGTGCAGCCCATTCGGAATTGTAAGATATATTGCCCTATAGCATATTGCCTTTTGAACATATTGCCAAAATTATACAGGGTTTCCTCGGGTCCTTAAAAACTCCTAAATTTAGTTGAATCAAATTTAAGGCCATAAAAAGTCTTAAATGGTACAAGAAAGTCTAAATTATGACGTCAAGATGTCTTAAATTTGGGGATGGAAAGACAAGAATTGCGATATAGTTTAACAAAGGCTATGATTTTATTGAATGAATATGAGCGCTGCACTTTTCAAAGTCGCGCTTGCTTTGTGTACTGCGGTTGCCGGGGAAACCACTATATTTCTGTCCTTTCAAGGAATTAGCATTTTCAATAAGCCCATCTGGTGTTTTTGTTCAGAACAAAACAAAAATCGAACCATCTATGATTTTTACGCAGTTGTAAATGTTAACGGTGGATCAACAAGAAGCTAATGCTAAAGCATTATAAAAGTCTTGCTGCGTCCCAATTCGCCTACTTATACTACCCTAAAAGTATGCGAATTGGGACGCAGCATCTAAATAACTAAGATATATCTAGTAGATTGTATATTGATTGATAATTGTATAATTTATATTTTTGACTCATCTCTTTTCTTAAAAATTGTTTAAAGGCTGAAATGTGAAGTTTATCATTTTATAAAACTTTTTGTTTTTGTGAAAGCCTGTATCTGAACTGAAAATTATGTTTTTACAGTCATTTTACAGTTTAATATGTTACCATAGACATTGCCCTACCCTGCTCAGGCAACATAAAATTTTCTCATATCTGTATGTATATGCTCTGGGTAGATGAAAATATAAGTTTATAACATGTATAAAATCCCCATAATAAAATATATACGTACATGTTAATATGTACAGTCGTGGTCAAAAGTTTTGACAGCGACATAAATTTTGTGTTTTGCAAAGTTTGCTGCTTAAGCTGTTGTAGTGTTCATTCACATTGTTTCTATATTATTGTGTAGAGTGATCAGATGCATTTTAAATAATTGCTAAAAGCTTCATTGGCCAAAAAAAATGAACTTTTCACAAAAAAACTAATTTCACTGTTTTTTTTTATCCTGACACAAAATGACCAGCTAACATTAATTGACTAATCATATCAGCAGCACATGTGAAAGTGTGAATGAGTACTAGTCAGGTGAAATCACTAGCATACTAAATAGATTGTAAGAGCAGAGCTCCAATCATTGTTCTTGTTAGCAATGGTTACCTCCAAAGAAACACGTGCAGCCATCATCGCTTTGCATCAAAATGCCCTCACGTGCGAGGAAATTGCTACAAAGAATATTGCACCTGAAAGAACCATTTATCGGATCATCAAGAACTTCAAGGAGAGAGGTTCGACTGCAGTGAAGAAGTCTTCAGGACGTCCCAGAGTGTCCAGCAAGCGCCAGGACGTCTCCTTCTGAAGAGTCAGCTACAGAATCGTGTCGGCACCGGTGCAGAGCTTGCTCAGGAGCGGCAGCAGGTTGGTGTGAGAGCATCTGCACGCACAGTGAGGCCAAGACTTTTGGACAACGGCCTGGTGTCAAGAAGGGGAGCAAAGAAGCCACTTCTCTCCAAGAAAAACTTCAAGGACAGACTGAAATTCTGCAGGTAGTACAAGGATTGGACAGCAGAAGACTGGTGCAAAGTTATTTTCTCTGATGAAGCTCCCTTCCGACTGTTTGGGACATCTGGAAAATCGATTGTTCAGAGAAGAAAAGGTGAACGCTACCTTGAGTCATGTGTTGTGCCAACAGTGAAGCATCCTGACACCATCCATGTGTGGGGTTGCTTTTCAATCAAGGGAGTGAGCTCTCTCATAATTCTGCCCAAAAACACTGCCATGAATAAAGAATGGTATCAAAACGTCCTGCAAGAGCGACTTCTTCCAACGATCCATGAGCAGTTTGGTGATGATCCGTGCATTTTCCAGCATGATGGAGCACCATGTCACAAAGCAAGAGTGATAAAGAAGTGGCTCGAAGATCATTACATTGAAATTTTGGATCCGTGGCCAGGCAACTCCCCGGATCTCAATCCCATAGAGAACCTGTGGTCAGTCCTCAAAAGGCGAGTGGACAAGCAGAAGCCCACAAATTGTGATCAACACCGACAACTAATAAGGCAAGAATGGATCGCCATCGGTCAGGATCTGGCCCAGAAGCTAATATCCAGCATGCCAGAGCGAATTGCAGAGGTTATGAAGAACAAGGGTCAACACTGTAAATATTTACTCATTTTATTTTTTTGCCAATAAAAGCCTTTAAAACTTATGATATGCTTATCATTGTTTTTCAGTATACCATAGAAACATGTGGAAAAATAATCTACAAATACTGAAGCAGCAAACTTTGCAAAACACAAAATTTATGTCACTGACAAAACTTTTGGCCATGACTATATATGGTTTTATATGTTGCAGTATGTCAACAATATATATTTTATATATGCAACATATATGCAAAAAAATCTGTATGTTCATATATGTTTTTGATTTTTTTTTTTTAAATATGTGCCTTTATATTTATTGAGGGGTTTTAGGATGGATATACATGTGCGTGACATATATGTCCAATACATATTTTTATGAGATAGATATGTTAATATGAATATTTTTCATAATTATATGTTTTACTTAATATGACGATATATATCATATATGGAAATTAAATAGCCTAAACATATATTTGCATATTGAAGCTTAACTGTCCTGAATGTACTGCTTTCTTGCTCAAGTAACTGTGGGTTTCAGTTTTCTTTTACCTACATGCTGTCAATTTTTTAGTATCCAAAAAGTTTGTATTCAGCAGATGGCGTTTCTTAAAGTGAATGCATCTTTCACTTTCAATATTAATCGTTGATGACAGCTGCGAGTGGGGAGCAGATTTGTTAGGTAGCTATTGGTACAGCTCAACTGTTCTGAATGTACTGCATGCTTCTAGCTCAAGTAATTGGGTAACTGTGGGTTTCGGGGGTTTCAGTTTTCTTTTACCTACATGCTGTCATTTTTTTAGTATCCAAAAAGTTTGTATTCAGCAGATGGCGTTTCTTAAAGTGAATGCATCTTTCACTTTCAATATTAATCGTTGATGACAGCTGCGAGTGGGGAGCAGATTTGTTAGGTAGCTATTGGTACAGCTCAGCTGTTCTGAATGTACTGCATGCTTCTAGCTCAAGTAATTGGGTTTCCCCTCTGCTGAAGCTTTCACTTTTCTCCCCCCCCGTCTTTGTATTCTTTTATTCTTTGCAAAGAGAGTCAACAAACATACAGCACCCATGCTACTGTAGTTGCTTACTACAGTTGTGACTGTAGGAAGGAACTATCTACTCTTAGAAGATGTAGAGAAAAACAGACGTGTGAGACTAAAGTGTCAACAGTAACTAGTTAAAACCAGTTCTTTCTAGCCCAGCGGTTAAGATGCTCAGGATGTAGGCTACTATGTGCAAGAAAATTAAAATTCCATAAAAGGCACTTCAAAAGCATTTCATATGCAGTCTAGTTGGAGATGAATTAAGCAAAGTAAATGTCCATCACAGTCGGTATTGGTTCTCAACGTTTGTTACAGATTTTTTTTCTTTTACACTTTTGCTGAAATGATTTTCAAGCTTCTGATATGTCTGTACTGTCCTCTAGCCCAGTGTTTCCCAACCGGGGTGCCGCAGCAAAATAAAAAGCAATTTATTTAATTCGAAGGCCTGTCGTTATTTTTTATTTGTGCTATCATTATTAATTTCTTTATTTGTTCTTATTTTATTACTGACTGCTTACTTGTCATTTTTTATTCAATTCAAAGTTTGAAATCAAGCAAATCTTGCTACTGCACCAAAATTACCCCACTGTAAAATTAAAAAAACATTGAGTGAGCAAAAAATTGTGAGATAGCTAGTTATAATGGTAATTAAACAATGTTTACATATGAATAAAAGCCTACATTAAAATCTGTCATATAAATTGGTCAAAAATATCTGTATGACATTATATTCTGCAGTTCTTCCCTGTTGTACCGAATATCTATACTTTTCAAATTATCATATCGAAGTTAGAAATTCAAATATTGTGACAAAATAAATTTTGTAGGGTGCCACAAGTTTGTTAAAATTTCCAAAGGGTGCCGCGACTAAAAAAGATTGGGAAACACTGCTCTAGCCTACTAAAAGTGCTCGAGCAGCGTACTATTGCTATAGTAGGCTAGCTTCCTGAAGCGAAAGCGACCTGGCCAGCGTTAAATAGGCTACACCAGATTAGATTGGGTCTAAAATATATGTTCGCTTAGGATCACCTGACACATTTCCAGGGCACAAATAAGAAAAAAGGTTAATTTTGTTTGTTAAGCGTTTAAATGTAATGGTGATGAATTTTAAAGATATTCTGTGGCTGTCTAAGCAGTTCACTGAGGCCCCCAAGTGGTCAATGGCTCACCGGTTGAAAACCACTGTTGTAATGTCAATAAAAACCACTTGGTGGAGATTGTGAGTAGTCTTTATCCTACAACTCCAGGCTGCTCACTCGCACTAGACTCATTAACGCTGGACGAGACGCGCAGCTGACATTTATTCTACTATTCTCATTTTCCCATCCCGACACTATACGTGAGTATTTTTTGAAAACATAACCTTTTATGTAATTAATATTGTATATCTTATTATTCTGAATATTTCGGTTATACATCTCACACGACTGAAGATTGGAGACTGAATGAGAAGTTTAAATAGACAGTCATGAGTTGTCTCTGAATTTCTTTTCAAATGTTTTAATATCACGGTCAGTTTTAATGTTTTGGTGTGTCATGTGTAACATATTTTCTGTTAGCAGTTTGTGTATTAATGCAGTAATGGTGAACAGAGTTTACAATTGTCGCTTTTTCAACTGTCCTAAAACTCTATTTCACTTTACTAGTTTGGATTTAATTTCCTGTTCATAGTTTACTTCTATAAAACATTATGAAAACATTTCAAGGGTTGTTTATTCTCCCACTCATTGTCATGATTTCGCTTTCAGTTTATAAAAATGTGATCCTTGAGCTTGAGGATTGGGTAATTCACTGGTTATGAACTGTAATATGAGATCTGTCGAATGTAGGTCAGGTCGGTTTACAACTGTAAGTGATTTGGCAAGAGAATTGAAATAGACTTTTTCTGTTTGGAGGGGAATAGGAATTTGATTGACACATTAACTGTGTAGTTTCAGTCTGTCTTTGCCTACAAATTAGGTTCTATGATTTTGATGATTGGATTAAAGGGATAGTTCACCCAAAAATAAACATTCTTTCATTACTTACTCACCCTCAAGTTGTCCAAACCTGTATGTTTCTTTCTTCTGTTGAGAATGTGGGTAACCAAACAGTTGCTGGTCCCCATTGTCATTCATCCATAGTATGGAAAAATATACAATGGAAGTTGATGGTGACCAGAAACTGTTACGTTACCAGTATTCTTAAAAAATATCTTGATGTTCAGCAGAAGAAAGAAATTCATACAGGTTTGGAACAACTTGAGGTTGAGTGAATGATGAAAGAACTTTCATTTTTGGGTGAACTATCCCTTAAATTGAACTACAAATCAGTAACCTAAGTTACAAAATAATGCATCAATAGCCTAATAACAGTAATACATTATACTTTTAATACTTTACTGATTAATTTATACAGTAGCGAAGTTGGATTTAGAGTAAAATTTGTGTGCACAAGCAACGTGCATGCAACATAACTAATCTGAGTTTCGCTAGAGTAACGTCTAAACAATAACACTTTCTTTTGAGTGTACAGTTCCAGTTTGCCCTCATTCCATTAGGTGATGTGTCAAATGAACATCGGTTCCTCCCTGTTGTTAAAGTGTTATTGTTTTTTTAAAACCATAGTCATCATTCATCATAAAACCCGTCAATTTTAATAACATTTCTGGGCCATTTTAGTAGCTTGCACAGCCCACTTTAACACGACTGGTGGCATCAAGTTGGTCTTTGTGTTCAGGTGGAGAGATTAACCGTCCTAATGAATGTACGCCTTGTTTCTGCCTGAAGTAACTGACTAGGCCGTTGGCCCCTGTGGACTTCCCCTTATTTGGGGTTTCACTTTTCTTTTTCTGCGTGCTGTGAGGAGTGAGAGACTGTTTAGTCTCTCAAGAGGGGACACTCTGCACCCCTTCATGCCAGCCCGCTTGATGGTTACCATAGCAACCTTTTTGGTATGCGCAAGTTCAAATGAAGTTGTCATGGAAATGACAAAGACTAGAAGGCCTTGAATCATTGGCTTTAGGCTTCATTTTGTAGCTGAACCGATTGCAAGTAAGCTCAATTACATTATATAAAGCATACTTGCTCAATCAGCAAAGATGTTTGTAGTTTTAATAATAGACTCCATGACACTTGTGCACATCTATGTTTACTTTGAATGGTAAAGTTGCCGCACCTCTAGGGATGTCATTGGTTTGGTGGTTACTTCAAGGCTACAGTGGGCTCCTGAGTGTGCAGAGTTTCTCCTTTTGTTCGATTTGAAAAGCGTGGCTGAAAGCTGCCATTGTCGTGGTGGGTAATTAAAGCTGGTTCTATCTCTGTGAGTGTGGGGGAGGGTGGTTGGAGAGTGAGGTGTGAACTAGAGCCCCAGTGTACACTGGGTAGATGAGCTGAATGCTGATGAACTTCAGAATGAGGGCTGAGCCTGCCTTTCCTCAAAGGATAATTGTAATTGCTTTTAAGATACTCTCAAACAAGTAATTGCTTTTAAGATTCTCTCATTTCGCAAGCGTTGCTTTGCTTTTCAGGTGATTTAAGGTTATTTTGTTATTTCTGCTAAAGCAATTTCGGCAATGAAAGAGATAAGATAAACTACTACTGATAAACAGGTCCTGTTAAATATATATTGCCATGTCTCTCCCTGTGGTGGTGTGCTGGCCTGATTCAAATTTTAGTGCATTGTGACACACTTTTTATCTGTCTGACTGAGCTCGGATAAGTTACATGTGTGTTGACATAATAGTTGTGACCTTCATATGTGGTACATAATGCTGACCATAATGCTCAATGCTGACCTTGATCAGAAGCACAACAGTGCTTTCATCAAGGTTGAATTTGTCTACAACCCTTTATGTTTGTCTAATGTAAGACATAGTACAGACATTAGGAAATTCACTTAAGGTAAAAAAATAAGGCCTTGTTTCACTCTGCAGAATGAGGAGGAAGTGTAGGTAATTTGATTCCACAGACTTCTGTTGCATGGGACATATCAGCATCTGAAAAAAACATTACAATCTCTCCCATGGTAGAAAAATATGAGAGATTTTTAATTGAGCTGGTTGGCCTCTGCTCAGCAGCACTGTGATTCTCTCTTCAAAACTAAATTGAAACAAGCAAGTTAAACACGTTTTAAACTGCATTCCTGTCTCACAAGATTAGTTCTTCATGAACTGATGAAAAACTAGAAGTTCATGTAAATTTGCTTGTTAAGTTTGAATAAAATGCTTTTCTTTCTGTTACACAACTTGAAGAAAAAGACCAAAAAAAAAAGACTAAGAAACTCTGTGGACAGACATTGGCTTATGGGATATTTTGGCTCTTTTATCCACTTTTATCCTCTTTTTAGACACTTTTATATATATATATATAGAAAAGAAACAGCCTGAAACGAAGACGGGGACAGTTTTTGATTAATTCAGCTGTATTTACTCATTGCAACTTATAATATTCAAGTGAAAGATGTAACACCAACATGTCAGAAAACAAAACAAAACAGAAGTTGGAAAAAGGATAACCCCCCTCCTAAAAATGACTTGTAAACTCAATCAGGTGTAGCTTATCACCTTCTCAATGGCACACAAAGCCATTTGACTTCAACTGTGATCAGTTGTGATCAGTTTCAGTCCTAGGTAGTGCAACTGAAGCAAACAACCAACTATGAATGGCAAGGCACTGTCAAAAGATCTCTGGGATAAAGTTGTGGACAGGCACAAGTCAGGAGATGGATACAAAAAAAAAATCACATTTTTTTTTTTATCAATGCCTAGAAGCACAGTGAAGTCTATTATTAAGAAGTGGATGGTATATGGTACAACACAGAACCAGGGTGATTCTTTTCTATACCCACTGTGTATATCTTCAATGTGTATGTCTTCAATGTCACGTGATCATTCAGAAATCAGACTAATGTAAAACATTTATCATTATCAATTTTGATAACAGTTGTGCTGCTTAATATTTTTTTCAGGATTCTTTGATGAATAGAAAGTTCAAAGAACAGTATTTACATGAAATAGAAATCTTTTGTAACTGTATAAGACTTTACTCTTTCCCCCTTGATCAGTTTAATGCATAAGCCCCCATAAAATTTTCTGCTGCTTATAGTTTATTGATACTCCCAGTCAAAGGTGATATTTCACTGTAAAACATTTAGCCAGGGTTTAAGAGGTTCTTCAGATGTAGTATCTCTTGTATAGTATCTCTTTGCTCCAGCAATAATGTTTTCTTCATCTGTGGCCTGATCTGCTTTGTGGTGTTGCTCTATATCTGTTTATCATCACTGACAATTCGTTCGCCCTCTCTGAGGTCACTGATGTGCCAAAGTGCACCATGCTGCACACCAACAGGCCCACAAATAGCACGAGAAGCCTGCTAATACTAACCTATTAATGATAGCTGGAATGTGGGTCATCGTCAAAAAACTGTGGCAACAGCCATCACGCAGTCCAGAGGAGAGTATTGATTGATCCTGTGGAATTTAGATATGTGTACTCCATAGATTATTCTGATGATGACAGCATGCTCTGTCTGAAAGCAATTGGGAGCAATATTGAATATTTAAACTGTAGCAAACATGTATTGTATATTAGTCTGTGTGCATGATGAAAACTATCTTTGTTTACAGATTCTGTTTTTTTTTCTATTTAACTCTCATCACTAATCCTACAAAAAAAAGTTATTGTGATTCTTACAGCTGTCTGTTCATTTCACTGAATTAAACATTGTTATGCTGCCCACTTGCCTTTTCTCTTAATCGGTGTCATGTATCATATACACTGATCCTTAATTTACTGCTGTTTCCCTGTTTTGGGTTTTTACAGGTCAACAAAATGGGGAAAGGATGCATCGCTGCCACCAAGTACTTCCTGTTTCTCTTCAACTTAATCTTCTTTGTAAGTTTCACTTTTTAGTTTTTAAAGAACACGTTTAGTTGTTTCAATCATTTGAGCTAGTAAACTGTTAATATAGGTTAATGTTATTTTTTAAATATTCTATTGTTTATTTATATTATTTTCGAACACATTAATGTTAATATGTAAAAATTAACATGACAGAAAATAACAAACAATCGCGTTGATCCTTATTATAAAGTGTTACTGCATTAGGTATGGGGCAAACTGTTCTTGGAAGGTTTTTTGAAACATTCTACCAATCCTTTTCCCAAGCCTTTCTTTTTTTATAAATGATGCTCTTTAGCTCACTCACAGCTGATGTCCCAGTTTTCTTAACATTAGTTTAACACTGATATTCATTGAATCAGGTCTCACATTCATTGATGAAAAAACATGTTTATTAGTTGTAGTTGCACCATAGCAGTCTTGCACCTCTGTCACAAGAATGCACTCTAGTTATGATCCAGATTAAGTGTTTTCCATTTGTTACCCAGACAGTTTACTCTTCTCCATCTCAGAGAGAAACAGCCTACTCTCCCTTGTGATCCTTGGGCTTGTTCCATGTAGGAAAAAATTGAAATCTCTGATCCAAGTTTATTCTCTGCAGGCCTGGGTGCTCAGGCTCAAAGAGCGCAGGAAGAGCCCAATGATCAATTCCAGCCATTTGTAACCCAACTTGTATACTTAAATACATGTTTAAATGATAAAATGTTTAAGGAAGTCAAATATATGACAAGAACATCAAGAGAAGGTTTTATATTGGTGAAATTGGTGTGTTCTGATTGGCAGTTGTCATTTTCTTGTCTTTGCATTTACATTTATTCATTACAGTAGCAATTTTTTATCATTTATCCAAAGCGATTTACAAATGAGGAATGACACAAACAATGTGTTATAAGAGCCCACAATATTTGCAGTACACAAAGTTTACATTAGATTACTACACAGAAACGAAACACAGAGGAGAAAGAGAACAACAATTTGTAAAAAATATCTAAATAAATACATTTTAGTAAAATACATTTCTATATGAATATTATTTTTTAAATAATATTTTAAATATTATTTTAAATCATATATAACACATTGAAATATGATTAATTATTGTATTATTTATCATTTTAATATTTTGTGTGTTCATGTTTTTTTCCTGGCTTGATCAAGCATTGGTTTGATTTAAATAAAATAATCCTTCAAGGAAGTGTTGCTGGGTTTATCTTCATCGCTGTTATTTCCACATTTCCATGCACTTTATTTGTGAAGTTGCACCAGAATAACTAAAGTATCTGTATGCAGAAATCATAAACCTTAGTCAATAGGCTTAAACAGCATTTTGACAAATTAAGTTACTTAATGCGAAATCGAGGAACGAACTGGCATGTTCATTTGGATTTTTTTTTTTGGGAGATTGAAACAGCTTGCCAAATTGAGCTTTCTGGAAAAGATTGCTAACAGTTTACTGTTGCACAGGTTTTTCAAACCTAAAAACCTGACCCCCAATCCAAGAATGCAAAAGAACTTCACTGTGAGCATAATGGGGTCTTTAGTGCCCCACCATGCATCCCTAAACCTTGCACCCCAGCATGTGTCCTGGTGTTAGACATAAGGAGAGGAGATGGGGCGCTTGTCCGAGTGGGTTTAGGGAAGGCTGTGGTGTTCTTGAACTCATGGAACATCCTCTGAGCTCCCCCTCCCCTCCTGCCACTGCCACGCAGAAGCACAGCCCAATCAGTCCCAGATGTGAGCTGAGAGCAAAGCAGAATGAGTCTGGAACCCCACAGTTAGAAATGAGGTTCATAGCTTCCTACGGGCTTGGATTAGTGTGTTTGTTACATACTCGCGCACACGCAAGCACACAACCTTCCTGTCGTTCAGGGAACACATTAATTCTAGAGTTTCCATCTTTAGCTCTGTCCAAGAGATTTGGAGTGAACAAGTTGCAGCTTGTAAACTGAAATGTGGGGCCCCTCGTTCCTTCTCCTGTCCTGCAGCACATGATTAATTATCTTCTTCTTTTTTCTTTCCTCTCTCTTCCTCTGCCCCCTGTCTATTCCTTTTTGTCTCTCGACAGATCTTCGGCGCTACGATTATGGGATTTGGACTGTGGATCCTCCTAGACAATCAGAGCCTCATTGCGGTGTTGCGTAAGTGTCTGCATAAAATGTGTGCAACTAAGAGAAAACCATAAAACATCATGCAGACGAACAAGAAGGAAAATGATGTTCCTAATAACCTAAATCTACTGGCCATTTTCTCTGGGATGGTTTGAAATACATTCACATTAATCTAAAAGGCTATTTAATGACCCATGGGAGAGTTCCTTTGCTGTTGGTTGGTTGAAGTAAAATCCAGAGGAAGTGATGAGAAGAGTTGGTCGTCAGTCTTGTCTTTTTATGCTCTTATTAGTGAAGTTTTATCCCGTTCTACCTTTGAATAAAACCTCCTGGGCTCATGCACCAGTGACTCAGACCCACTTTTACAGGGGCCATCTGTCTCTTGTTTCATTTTGTTTGATGATCACCGTAAGTCTCGTCTTAAAGTGTATGATTCAGGCTTTTGGACAGATTGTCTATGATGGGCTCTGTATTTTTCATCACCCCACCCCCTGCACACTTCTGATCTGTTTTCCATCCCAGAGGCCATTGCAAGGAGCTCTGGGTCACTGGGTCTGGGTCTTACAGACACTGCCAAACAAGCTAGCGCTACATGTTCACAGCTGGCTACGGATCAGCTATTGAGTTCACAGCTCTGTGGCGAGCCAGGCAGGGCCTGTGTGTGACATAGCACGTCTGAGGCAGTGTGCAGGTGCTCCCTCGCTGCCACACAGGGCTCTTTTAGCGACTGTCTCATTAGCATGCATCACGTCAATGCTCAGATCAGGCCTCTCGTTGCATTAGTCATTGGAAAGAACAAATTAACACTAGTGAGCAAGTATATGCAAGGAGGGAAAAGAATGACCCTATATCTGCCTCTGACACTTAATTCCAAGTGGTCTTAATCTATACTGTAGTTCAAAAGTTTGAGAACGGGAAGATTTTAAAAATGTTTTTCAGAGAAGTCTCTTATGTTCCCCTAGGCTGCATTTATTAAATCAAAAATACAGTAAACAGTAATACTGTGAAATATAATTACAATTTAAAATAACTATTTTCTATTTAATATATTTAAAATGTAATTCATTCCTGTGATGGCGAAGCTAAATTGTCAGCAGTCATTACTCCAGTCTTCAGTGTCACACGATCCTTCAGAGATCATTCTAATATGCTGATTTGCTGCTCGAAACATTTCTTATTTTTATCAGTGTTGAAAATAGATGTGCTGCTTTAGATTTTTGTGAAAACTGTGATACATTTTTTTCAGAATTATTTGATTATTATTTAAGAAAGTTTAAAGAATAATAGTAAAGTTAATAAAGTTGATTTAAGAACACAGTTTGTTTGAAACAGAAATCTTTAGTAGCAATGTAAAAGTCATTACTGAGACTTTTGATTTAATACAAATTTCAGAATTGTAAGTAATCATTTCTTTAAAAAAACAACAACTTTTGATCAGTAGTGTTTCTCAAAGCCAGTGTCAACATAATTACTGACAAAAGTGGTCAATAATGAAGGGTTTTTGATTTCATCAATAAAAAAGCACATCATGAAGATTAATAAATGCTTGTAGTTAAAAAATACTGTTGACGAAAATATGGTAAAAGACAAATACAGCAAGAAATTAACTCTAACATCGTTTTGAAAAGGAAAATCCAAGAAAGAATATGAATGCTTTTAATAATCCTTCAAAAATGTTGTGGATTGACTCGCTTGAGTGGCACAAGCTGAAACTGAACAGCGAATGTATGGTGGTATAAATTTAATATATAAAATGTTTGAATATTTAACTTAATTTTGTCCTTTCTCATAGACTAAAATTAGAGGCCATTTTAATCCAAGTAAAATTTATTAAAATAAATGAATATGACATGACAAAATTTTATTTTAGTCTGCAACATAAGGTTGTGTGAAAATGAACACTGCTTAAAATGCACTGAAAGTCAACCATTACAGTAGTTGACTTGGAAAGGTCACGGCATTTTAAAGGTTGTCTTGCAAAATGTAGTGTGTCTGGCCCAAGACTTGAACCCAGTCTGAGTGGCTGCGCCATAGAAAGGTTTTTGCTTGATTGATTGTTCAGAGCAGAAAACTGATAAAAAAAAAGCGCAGACTCACACCATAGCATGACACCAACAGCAGTGAATTTGCGAACCTCTTGTATTCCTCCTTTGCATGTCATAATTCATCTGACAGACACATTCCTGCAGTGCACAGCGGCTGCTGGATGTTTTTTGGGACTTCCAGCCATGCATACAAACAGTGAGCCCATGGTAAAAAAAAAAAAACAAGTTTTCTAAACATCATTGTTTTTCTAATCCAGATGCCAGTGGCCTTCACTGGCTCAACTGATCCCCAGAGGATTTTCCTGTTTCCGTTAGACACCATTAGGCACTTTACCAGCATGGGATGGTTTGCGATTTACAGTACTGAAGCTACAAAGGCCTACACATTCAAAGCTGAAGTGCAGACACATGTTTTATGCTTTTATTTGCAATGTCACTGCCCATTCTTGGGGTTTGGGCACTGGAGGGAATAACTGAAACAGAATTGTTGCGTTCATTGCAACTGGTTTCCTTAGCCAAATGCTTTCAACTTGGTTTCTGCTGAATATAGTGGTTGAACTTAAAAAGGCATTTGCTTTGTTAAGGAAAAAGGTCTTGTTCTTTATTCTGCTATTGTTTGTGGGTTTGTTATGGTGACAGAGAATTTTGATAATATTTACCACATGGCACAAAAGAACCGTGTCTCACTATTTCCAATGTAAAACTCTAAATAAATCATATTAAAAGCTGTTTACCTATAGTTAAGTCAAACATTTCAGAAAAGCCAACTGCTGTGAATCTTGTGAATTTTTTTTCGCAATGAACAGAATGGGCTGAAATGATTCCAAATCAGATAACTCACTTCACATTGTTCCTTAGGATGCTGGATTTGCTTGCTTACTAAATGCAATCCGCTGGTTCTCAGTTTCCAGATTCCACTTTTTTCTATATTTTTGAAATAAACGCAGCTTTGGTGACCATAAGAGACTTATTTTAAAAACATGCAAAAAACAAAACAAAAAAAACAACGATAACAGTAGACTATATTTTTAACATTTCAAGTTGTATAAATTAACATAAGTTTACAAGAAATAATAACATATATACTGTACATAAATTAACATTAACCTAGATTAATAAAGGATGTAACCTTATCAAACCTTGTTTTAAAGTGTTAACACTATTTTTATGGCCTGTTGAGCTTTACATTTAGCACAATCACTTCAACTCTACCTAATACAATGTACTATTGCTGGTCAGTTTGCACACCAAAAACAAATTTTGTTCTCAAATACCCCTAGCCAGTAATTACAGTCTCGGGTTGTCCTTTTCCCAGTATCCAGTTCTCTCTTAATCATTAATTACTAAATAGTCTAAATTATGTAAGATGTAGACAGAGCCTTCTCAACCGTGTGAAAAGATGAACTCATTCTGTTATTTGTGCTTTGACGCATGCTGTAATCATCAGAGTTGAGATGGTCATCTCATCTAAGTGCTTGGTTTCGTAATGATGATTACATCGGGTCACATGATGGGCCATTGTATCCTCTGCACCCACAGTCACACAGACACTGTGGTATTGTTTGCAAGGCTGTCTGTGGTAATGTTGTTTTTGCTGGGGAGCCATTGAGGTATTTTGAGGTAGGATGATATGACAGAGGCTTTTCAGTCAATACACATGAAAGCCTGACTGAAGCAGGACCAGAACACAGTTGGAGAATGTGCTGCTGCTTTGAGGTGAAGCCACAGAATGTCTAAACCAACTGCGTACAGTGAGCATCGCCCGGTACTATAGGCCGTTATGTCTCAGTCAGGATCGCAAGGGAGACTTGCCAACCCCATCTCAACATTACACAATGCATATTCATGAGGACATCCCGAGACTGTAATTACTGGCTAGGGGTATTTGAGAACAAAATTAGTTTTTGGTGTGCAAACTGACCAGCAATAGTACATTGTATTAGGCAGAGTTGAAGTGATTGTGCTAAATGTACAGCTCAACATTCCATAAAAAGTGTTAACACTTTAAAACTGTTTGATAAGGTTACATCATTTATTAATCTAGGTTAATGTTAATTTATGTATATATGTTATTATTTCTTGTAAACGTATGTTAATTTATACAACTTGAAATGTTAAAAATATAGTCTACTGTTTAAAAGTTTTTTTTTTTTTTTGCATGTTTTTAAAATAAGTCTCTTATGGTCACCAAAGCTGCGTTTATTTAAAAAAATATAAAGAAAAAGTGAAAAATTATTACAAAGGATTATTTTGAAAGATTTAAAATAAAATTTTTAAAAAATATTTAATAATTTAAAATAATTGTTTTCTATTTTAATGGTTAAAATGTAATTTATTCCTATGATGGTAAAGCTGAATTTTCATCAGACATTACTCCAGTCTTCAGTGTTACATGATTCTTCAGAAATCATTCTAATATGCTGTTTTGGTGTTTCAAAAACATTTGATATTATTAATGTTGAAAACGGTTTTCTGCTTCGTATTCTTGTCGAAACCATGGTACTTTTTCAGGATAGAAAGTTCAAAACAACAGCATTTATTTGAGATAGATTGTTACAAAACAATGTAAAAGTCTTTATTGTGACTTTTGAACAATTTAATGTCATTGCTGAATAAAAGGTCAAAGTAATTTTGTTTAAAAAAAAGTCGCACTGACCCCTGAGAAATTAGCATAAACCAAGATTAATAAATGCAAAAGTACTTTTCATTGCTATTTCATGTTAACTATTGAATTAACCATTTTTAATGTATAGAAAGTGTTGCCAAAGTGTGGAAAATAAGGGCTGTTTACTGAATCACTGCTCATTAACACAATTATGATTAGTTTGTAACCAGGATTGTGTTTGTATTTCTCACTAACAGAGGATTCATCCATGGTCCTGAAGGTGGTCTCTTATATTCTGATTGGTGTGGGCTCATTCTCCATGCTTCTGGGATTTCTGGGCTGTCTGGGGGCCATCTATGAGATCCGCTGTTTGCTTGGATTGGTAAGACGCATAATTGCAACAATGTTTAGCACTGTTTTTACCATCTTTCCTAATTTAGTTGCTGTCCGTTTTTGTAAATCACATGCTTTTTCGCATGCAAACTCGAAGTACAAAAGGAACTTCTGCTCTCATGTGTAAATTTGCTGTGCTGAGCGGTTAAATGTCACATGACCCGAGCAGACTGGCCTGAACCAGCTGTTGCATTTCTGTTGCACATATGTGCAGGCTGTGCAGTACATATGTGAGACTGACATATGTGGCGGGGCGTGCACATGGGTCTGTGGTATCTTAATCCATTGTCTTTTTCTCTCTTTACAGTACTTCACCTGTCTATTGCTCATCCTCCTTGCTCAAGTGGCTGCTGCCATTCTCATCTTCTTCCAGCGGGACTGGGTGAGTGAGTCAGCGCTCTTATGTGGCTACCATAATAGTTCACTCAAAAAGGAAAATGTGATCATTTACTCACCCTCATATCGTTCTGAACCTGTATGACTTAATTTCTTCTGTGGAACACAAAACAACATATTTTGAAGAAGTGTTTTTGACAGAATTTTCATTATGATGATATAATGACAGAATTTTCATTTGTTGGTGCACCATCTCTTAAAGCCTGGCATCAAAACACTTTTTGAGGGCAAGACACTTAGGGCTTGAATGCATGTTAAAATGTTTTGGAAAAGTTGAGTTCAGATCTCTATGTGTTCCATTTGCCAGCTAGATTTCATTGTGAAGGTTTTGTTTAGATTTCTGGAACAGCTTGAAAAGAGGTCAAGAGAATCAGTGGCTGAAAATGAAAATATACTGCCCCCTATTGCATATACCAAAAAGTGTGTGCATTTGAGGATAGCTGTTGTTGAACAGACCTTCACCATGATGACCCGAGAAAAATAATCACGTGTTAGACACAGGATGAGGACGAATGCACACATACACTTCTGCACCCTCCACCGAGGTCAGCCAGCAGCGAGTGTCTCTGAGGATGCTATAGGAAGCATCTGAGCAAGATATGCAGTAAATCATAAAGTATTTGGAGCAAGTAGATGATAGATGTTTTCCTTGTTGTATTTGTTTACCTGACATCTTGGACATAATTACGAACCTGTTTGGAGACAAGATGAGCATGCAGTTGAAGATTTGCTTCCAATACAAATGCAACACATGCTTCTCTTATGGGAAAAGATTTGTGCGAAACAAGTGTGTTTGAACTTCCATTTTAGTAGCTTAGTAACAACGGTTTCCTCAGTCAGCAAAGTGAGTCTCAGGTCAAATACCTGGGGCTGGAAAAATAAACCACTAACCCGCTTAACTCTCGTTGCAGTTGAGGAAGGAAGCAAACGAAATTGTGTCCCAAGTCGTGGTGAACTACCCCGGACAGAACAAAACCACAGAGCAGGCCTGGGACTACCTCCAGAGAACAGTGAGTTGAGAATGGGCGTAACTCATACATTGTCTTTAATTCAGACTAGAGACGTGTATTATATGTACTGTATGTATTTGAATGTATTTCCATGAAAACCACTCGGTTTCTATGGGAGGTTCAAGCTCTAGAATGTAGAAATGCTTGTTGGGTTGACAGTTTAGCCTTTCAGAACTGACATTAAGGCTGTTGACTGTTCATTTGCTTATATTTAAAACACCATGTCAGTGACATCTCAAATAACGTAAATACATTTTTTTGCACTGGAAAAGTGTATTAGGCTGAATACTGCATACATTTTAATGAGAAATTAGTGGGTCGATGTGCTAATTATAAATGATTAAGATGTTAGTGGGTTGAATAATCCTGGTTCGTAGTCAAGCCAACATTGTAAAGTACTTCATGCCCTGTTGTTTCTTCTCTGTGTGTCTCAGATGCAGTGTTGTGGCTGGAATGGACGTGAGGACTGGGAGGCCAACCATATGATAAAGAATAATTCGCTGGATTTGTACCCATGCTCCTGCCACAATGCTTCCCTCCCACCACATAATATGGCTGATAGCGGCTTCTGTCAGGTCACATCTAATGATTGGCCCGTCTATGACACGGTATGGGAAATGTTGGTTATCCATTAATCATTTTAATGTGATAAGTAAGTCTCAGTTTCTCCCTAGTTTTTTGTGTAATTCTTAAAGGGGTCATATGATGTTGCTAAAAAGAACATTATTTTGTGTATTTGGTGTAGTGAAATGTGTTTATGCGGTTTAAGGTTAAAAAAACACATTATTTTCCACATACGTTTTAGGTAGGTGTGGTTGACTCTTAACTTTTATAAAGAATATCTCTTTGGATTTGAGACTTTAGTCTTTGCAACTTTACAGATCTTCTTTATGCACCAAGAGCTTGTAACACTTCAAAGAGAAAGGAAAAATTGAAATCGAATCATATGACCCCTTTAAAGCGTTGTTGAAGTGATAGTCCACCCAATGAAAATTTGGTTCCAAACCTGTATGACTTTCCTCCTTCTGTGGAACGCACGATAAGATATTCTGAAGAATATTAGTAACCAAACAGTTTTCATTCCAATTGACTTCCATTGTATGGCAAAAAAATATGATGCAAATCAATGGGAACTGAAACTGTTTACCAAAATTCTTCAAAATATCTTCTCTTGTGTTCCTCTGAAGTAAGTCAGTCATACAGGTTTGGTATCATGACAATGAGTAAACAGATGAATTTGACAGATTAATTTTCATTTTTGGGCGGACTATCCTTTTATATGATATATAAATACACAGTTTTGCTAAACACTGACTGTGGGCAAATTTATTACCAATGCCTGGGAAAGATGATGGCTAACAAATTACATTTCACATACCTCTTTCCTTCATAATTTTATGAATTTTGAGTTGCATAAATCTGGTAACGGGTCTAGTTCAGGTGAAAGATCTTATGACAGAGTGTTTTTCTGTCTTCACCAGGGCTGCCTGGGGAATGTGGAGAGCTGGCTCTTCACAAATTATGGAATTATTTTGGGAATCTGCCTTGGTGTGGCTGTCATTGAGGTATGTTGTATCTCCTCCGCCCTAGGCAGCATGAACAATACGCCTCTTCTTTACTAAGAAATGTTGGGGTGTTTATTATCAATGAAGTTGTGCAATGCCCTCTAAGAAAGAAAACAAACAAAACTGTCATTGGGGCGGTACCTTTTTAAAAGGTACTAATATGTATACTTGAGGTACTAGTATGTACCATTAAGGTACTTATATGTAACATTTAAGGGTGCATAAGGTACAAATATGTTCCTTTTAGCTTTTGTATCTTAGGGTAACCGACCCAATAACAGCTCTGTACTTTGTGTGAAATGTTACATCACAGTTTTCTGAAGAACAGATTGGACATTTCCATCTTGATCTCAGTGTAGTGACCATTGTTTGTTTTTACAGCTCCTTGGCATGATACTTTCTATGGGCCTTTGCAAGAGTGTACACCAAGAGGACTACACCAAAGTGCCAAAGTACTGAGGAGGAAACACGGACACTTGCACACAAATGTATTCAGTCCTTCCTTATTGACTTGGAACAACAGATCTCCCTCTTTTTCTACAGTATATACAGTGTTTCCAAAAGATAAACTTTAGGGATTATGTTTAGTCATGAGATTTCACTCTGTCAATAACACTATCCCCTGTGATATTTAATCAGATCTTTTTTTAGTCCAGTTTGAATAGCCCATTATATGACAGTCTGAAGTGTAGAACATGAAAGGTGCCCGCATAAATTAATGAAAAGCGTATGACGAGTCCTGGAGCCCCTGAATGGTCTATTTATACAACAACACTCTTTAACACCCAGGCTGGTCTGTTTGCTTTGATATTTATTCATTGTAGCGGCCCAGACTATGAGTTAACAGCCTATTAAACTTCAGTTTATGCTTTATAGACAACAGAAAAACCACAAAGGCCTGCTTTTGTTAAATCAAGGGACTTTTCTTTAGATTTTGTGGTATACATAGACTGACACAATTCCCACTCTGCCCTATAGTGACATCATTTATGATTGTACATCAGTGTTGTTTCAGATTGCTTTTGTTTATTTTTATTAGTGTGTATATATTTTAGATTTCATTTGCAGGTTGATTTTGTGAAGTCTAGGGAGTCAAACTTTTCGCTTTTTTGTACAGGTGATAAATTTAGTATTTTTTACATGCTTAATTTGAGCATATTTGTATGAGTATATTTGTAAGGAAGTACAATATAAAGCTATTCCTTTGATGATGTGAACCAAAATGAAGATTAGCCCCCAAAGTTGACTGCAGACTTGATTTTTTTTTATTGCATTGATTCTAATTTAACAGATTTTCTCTGGCACCACTACGACTTCAATTGTATACTTGCTATGACAAGTATAAATGAAAAAATGCTAACAATGTTTCCTGTCATGTTTAATAGTTATTTTGCATATGTAAAACTTTGAATTCTTAATAAAAAGGTACACACTTATTTTAATGTTGCAAAAAAAAGTTTTTTTTTTTTTAAAATACAGGGAATACAGTCCCCTAGCAAGTAATAATGAAATGATAGAATATTGTAACTACATGTACCTTTCGCTGAATGTGTTATAATAAATAACTCACCCAACCTATTTGCTCTCCTTGTTTTTATATACCATGTACTTTTGCTAGATCTTCACTAGGTGGCAGTAGCACATCTGTTCTAGTTAATGTTAACTGGGAAGTGGTGGTCAGCAGTTAACCTTTAATTCAGAATGATTTGATTAATAGGTAAGTAAATAAAAATATACCCTGTATTAGTAAACCATCAAAAATAATACGTATACATATAGTAACATATTTCTTATCCTTCTGCTTTTTGTTCATTTCTGCAGGCAAATGGTGGTCTTCCTCAAGGGGTCATCATGGTGGTCTGGTTCTCTTCTGTGTTTCAATGAGATGTTAAATGACACAGTCCACCCTTTGTTCTCCCTCAACAATAGAGGGTTCATTGCCACCTGCTCGCCCCCTTCACAACCGACCTGCCTGCAAAACTCCATCCTGTTTTCAGAAGACTGTGACTTTCCAGAGTCTTGCCCAGCCGCCACACACATGGATACTCATGGTCAACTTGTCTTTTTAAAGATGCATATGTCTAACGCTTTGGGGGAAAAAAAACAATAATTCAACATAAATGCATAATTGCATATTATGAACTTTCTCACTGAAAACCTTCAGTAGCCTACATTGTGTTTTTTTTACCTGAGCATTTAGATCTCCATTAATCTATGGTAATTCAGCTCAAAGAGGACGTCGGTTTCCTTTCCCATCCTTCCGGTAATGCTCTGCTCCTGGTCTCCAGAGCTACACTTTTGCAATTATAATGGTGACGGACTGACGTTGGAGCTGAGCTGTCTTTTGTCAGAAGGCAGTCTGGAATATCGCTCTGATCATGTTCTGCCAGCCCGCCAAACAACAACAGCTGCTGCTCTTTGCTCTAATAGCTTTCATAGACAGCAGAATTATTTCATTGTGTGGCTATAGACAGTTGTTGAACGCTGACTTTTTATGAAGTAGTCTTGAAACTAAATTTTATAAGCAATATTTAGTCTCACATTCTCCAGTTGAGTTTGTAAATGTGATTTAGATTTAAAAATGTTCCTAATGTTTATAAACACATAAAGAGAGAAATACTGTATCATACACTGATGGTCATTGTGAGAAAGAGCAGCTGACAGGAAGCCACAGAGACATGACTGCACAAGACAGAGATGTCATTCACACACACACACACACACACACACACTTGTGACCGAGTCATACTCCGCTCACCCTCATTGAATTTAATCTAATTTCACTTCACATAGATGGCTAATGAAGGGGAGGAGGAAGTCCACAAATAATATGAGAAGCAAGGGGAAGTTCAAAAAGTCAAATCAGCTCTGAATTACCGAAACACTGTACTTATGATTTTTTTTTTATTGTATTTTGACACATATTAGGCTTTGCATACCAATATTTACATGAAAATGGCCAATAGTGTCCCCTGCCCCCTTAAAAAATACAGTCCTATAGTTAGCATGTTTATGCCTTATTCATGTTATTAATATAAAATTATAAATATAAGATTATAATTACTTAAAATAAGATGTGCTTCAGATGGTGTAAGGTCGGGTCACAGAGAATGATATTGTTATTGTTACCAATATCTTTCACTGTTTTACACTGCTTATCGCTGCTTTTTCACTCGTGAGTGCCACAATTTTATGACCCCATAAGGTTTGAAAGTGTGTCCCAAGACCTTGCACTGTTTCTCACATTTTTAAAACTTTTAGAAATTTTCTGTCATTTGTTTCATGTATATTTTTTTTATTTCATTTCAGAGTGTGATAACAATGTCAATCAGCTGGTATTGTGACAGTAATAGTTACTATGGTGATTTTAGTGTCCTCACAGTAGTGAGGCCGTTTCATAGTGACCCATCCACATCTGCTCCTAGGCAGTGGACCGTACAGGGTTGCCAAGTCTGCTTATTATAAACGTCTTTGGGCTTGTTTTTTTCTAGAAGTTGCTTATAGATTTGGGTAGATGCGGGTTGAGATTTTTTTGGGCTTATTCAGAATACAGTTGTGTATTTGGGCTTGTTAGTGGTTGGCACCCACAAGACAAAATTTATGACCGCTTTATCGTTATTTAGTGTGTGATGATGTTTCTTTGTCTGTCAATGCCATCACAAAGTTCTATTCGTAGCTTTGTAGAGGCAAGTAAGCAATCTCCACTTTTACACCAAAAAGGTGCTGTTATTTGTGCAGACTGTAACTTTGTTTTTTTTTACCAGTCTATTTTGATATCGTAAGTAATTTGACCAGCATCTTTATGAATCAAGGCTACTTTTGATGCAACACTTTCTATGAAGCCCATATTTGTAATACATTATAAGGGTATGTTTAAGGCATTATAATGAATGAATAATGCATTTAAAAAAAAACTTATAATATGTTGTATCATCTCATAAATAATCATAACAACAGTTTTAATGTATTATAAAACTTACTTATTTGTGGTTATAGCTTTTAAGAGTATGATGATTTATAACACACAATGAACATGTTGCATCCACTTAAGTTACAATGAATTATATTTCCCATAGTTATAATGTATTATAAGTCTTATATCGTGCCACTGTTTAAGACCTAAAGAACTTAGTACATCTTAGTAGTGTTTTTACTGTAAAATGACAAAGTCTTCATGAAAACATCCAAAAGGCTTTATAATGTGGTCTTATTATTTATAAGTGGTCTTTGTCTGCTTTAAGTAAAAGTAACTTCACTTTACTTAAAGCAAAGACCACTTAATAATAATAATAATAATAATAATATTTCCCCTCCAATAGTCATAAAATCATATATCAGATCAGATGAATGTGTACACATTTTCTTTGAACTATTTTTATTGTAATATCAGTATGGTTATTTTGATGGTACCCTTTAGACAACTGTTGATAAGTAACTTTGCAGTCATTGAAGTATTAGTAGTATGTCCGCTAAATATCTGCTAACACTTTGCAAGTACGTCAACTTATTCTACCAACCCTAACCTTAACCCAAGTCTACTAATACTCTAATGAGAGTTAGTTGACATGTAGTTGCAAAGTTGCCTATAGTCAATAGACTAAGGGGACCATCAAAATAAAATGTAATGTAATATAAAAAAAAAATTTGATATTTTTTTTTTCATTTGAAAGTATTTCAACTGATCGTAAACTAGCTCACAGCAAAATAAACATTAACCTCACAGGAAACACTCAAAAACAATCAACCACTCCTAACCACTCACAAGAAGTAGTAAGATACTGTGCAGATCTTAAACAGACAATGTCACGATATGAGATAATCCATTATAAATTAAGTGGATTTAATATGGTATTAATTGTGTGTTACAAATAATCATACTCTTAAACAAATGCCTTAAGAATACCCTTATAGTGTATTATAAATACGGGCTTCATAGAAAGTGTTACTGAAATTTCTTATATAATAAAATTCATAGCCACCAAGGCACGCATATTATATTTATAAATAATATATTATTTTGATAGCCAGTGAAAATAATTGTTTAGATAGCCAGGGAAAGTTGCTGGAGTTTACATGTCTTAGAAGTTTTGAGGACAGTAAAATCACCAAATTATGAAGTGAAAGTGACATGTGGCCAAGTATGGTGACCTATACTAATTTATACTTGGAATTAGTGCTCTGCATTTATCCCATCCAAAGTGCACACACACGGCAGTGAACACACACAGCCATTTTTGCTGCGGCGCCCGGGGAGCAGTTGGGGGTTCGGTGCTTTGCTCAAGGGCACCTCAGTCGTGGTATTGAAGGTGGGAGAGAGCGCTGTACATTCACTCCCCCCACCTACAATCCCTGCCGGTACGAGACTCGAACCCGCAACCTTTGGGTTATGAGTCCGACTCTCTAACCATTAGGCCACGCCACGACTTTCATGGAGGGACAAAGTGAGATGTGAGGGTGAACAATGAGTGAAAAGGGCTGACCCGAGAACAGTGATGTTGAAGGTCTGGTTGGAGAAGATCTAAAGGGCAGCTCATGGTAGGTCTGGAACACTCATCTAGATGGACATGCATTAAAGCTGAGCTGGCCAAAGGCCAGTGTACGTTTTCCCTCCCCCAGGCCAGATGGACCTTTTTTTCCTGTTATCCTCTTCAGGACTCTCACCTTTAGCTGGTCTTATCGCACAAGAGCAAAGAAACACTGCTGAGGCAACTAGACAAAGGCATTCTTTGTATACTGAAGAAAGTGTAGAGGGGGCTAAGCAGACTAGTGTTTATCCATAAACTGAACTGAATGATAATCCATAATATTCATATATTACATAATGATTACACTTCATATGAAATGCAATATATTACTGTTTTTTAAAATTATGTATGGAAAGGTATTGTGAAGTGTCTGAAGCTGAAAGATCTGATAAAGCTGATTAATAGAACAGTATAACCACTGAAGTATAGTATATATGCTACATATGTGCTTATTCCTTTATTTATGTACTTTATAAATGCCGCTCATCTCATACATGACTCCTCTCTCTGGGTTATGCTGCATAAAACTGTTCCCAAGGTATGTTTTACTAAGAGATACCAGAGAAAATGTGTTGAGGTTTGAGGAAACTAAATGGTCTGTGGAGAGGGAATGTTATGTGCCATGGGTTCAAGCAGTTTTTCCCCTCACACTGCCAGTCAGAACACATTGAGTGTTTATGTTTGTTTTTCATACTCTCCTGAAAGTATTTGGACATTTTTGAGAATTTTATCCACCTGTTACTTTGATAGTCCATCTTCCTTCAAAGAATATACTGAAGTACCCATGAGACAGGTCACCACCAACCGCTTTTAACCTCCACGCTTCATGTATGAAATGAGAGTAATTTACTGTCTGGAAATGATTTGGTGCTAGTAAAACAGCATAACATATCCGGCAATGAGATCAGCACCAGCCACTCCTTTGCACTCTGGATGAGGTCACCTATAGGCCGTGACCCCTTTTCCTGCTCTTGGCAGCTGCTGAAGACGTACAGACTAGGATGGACTGCTGACTTGTACATATTATTGAGGTCATTCTGTGTGAGCAC